TGTCATTGAGTTTAGAAACAAAGCTGTGTAAACTGTCTTAATGAGTGGTAGTTGCTTTCTAGTGGCTTTTGGCATTCAGCCTCCCTTATTCTCCCTTTAAACTTCGACACTAAGCGACCCTTTGTATGCAGTGAGGTGCAGCTTGAACGTGTTCGGCAGACAGTTCCCAACTTGCTGTCACAAGTTAATGCTTGGTCATCACTTTCCAGAGTTTGAGTCTGCAGCTTTAGTTCCTTACACATCACCACTGATTTGCATCAAATCTGTATCACATTAAAGGTTCAGTGTGCAACAGGCGCTGCAGGTCGCTTTCCACAGAGCTGCTCATGTTGAACCACCATGTTTCTACAGTAGCCCAGAATGGACAAAACCAAACACTGGCTGTGGACAGGGCCACCATAGTTTCTCCTATACATTTCACAGCACGTTCTCATTCCCAAGTCGTCATATACAGACACGAGTGGTGTTCAGTTTGTTGCAATCTGCCAGATGCTACTAAATCGTACACGCTGATCCTTTTTAAGTTGCAGTTTTTAGTTTTCGTGTGATACAATGTATTTAAGTTGTTGTTTAAAAAGTCAGGGACATTGATTCCCATTTTAAATGTGTGTTAAGCAGAGCAGACTACTGTCCAACACAAAGACTAGTTCCAACCAAATTAGATATGTCAAAACTGGGTCTTGTGTTCTTTGGAAAAATGAATCTGTTGATCCTTAAGCCATCGTTGCTCAAGCTTAATTACTGTCAGATTTATCACCGTGTATCTTCCTCTCCTGAGTGACATCTCATCATGCTTGTGGTTGGTACATAGCTTTCTGGTAGCAAATGTCTCATTCTAAGACAAATACGGACTTGCAAATTTGCCTACCTTACCGGCACTGTTCTACACAGGCGATCCCACTGCAGTGAGGTTTGTGTTCTGTGTACAGCTTTGGTTGTTGTTCTAACAAATAAAGTGACCTAACTCCACGCAAACAGCGTTCCTGCCTTGTGTATCATGTTATTAGATGTTTATGCGCGCTCGAGGCAAGATCCACTTGTGTTCGCTCTTCAGACCCTGGAATTCCTAATCATGTATATCAGACACAAACACTATTAACACCTCAAAGGGTGCTATATTTGACACCCTAGCAGCCCTCTTGCTCTCATTAGTCAGACCCATACCAGAACTGCCTGGGGCCGAGGTGTGGAATGTGAGGAACGCCTGGCTTTCAGGTCGAACTGTCAGTCTCCTCTGGCCCGCTCGGGTTGATCAGGTCAAGTGTTACTGGGGCGTCATGGTTCGTTGCTACAAGTCAACCGTAGAAACTACAATTCATTTATTCTTCAACTTATTTCTAAGCATACACTGGTGATTAGAAAGTGTTGGAGACTAATGTAAGATGTAATGTAGGAGTCTTTCGTAGCACGCTCCTGTAGGTGGTCTTTATCTTTGGGCTCTCTCGACCAGACTTCTGCAAGGACAGACATAAAACATGAATGCACTCTTATCAGAAATGTTCTGTGTACATAATTGCATTTAGACCAACCCTTCATCAGCAATAAAGTGAACACCCAGGTCACAGTCTACTCCCTTTTTGTCTTACACACCAACTGTAAGATCTGTTGCAATTATCCAGCCCTGTTGGGTATGCTAGTTTAATGCATAGTAGCAGCCAGTTGAACATAAAACCTCAGTGTTTGTGCATAATATAACGCCACCCATCTGGATTATGTACCATAGGCGCACACAGACGCCTCCATAGTAGTGCAGCACCGATTGATTTTGAAACAGCGTTGTTTGTTTTACATGACCGAACTGGTTTGGCAGTGTTAATACCTTTTGTGGGTGTGAACTAGACTGAACATGATCCATAATACTTTAGATCACTCTTAATGCTGTCAAAATAGCGTGTGTGAAGCAATTACTATAGGAATAGTAACATTAAGTACAGTGCAGAGTAAGTTTGAACTGTTGGCTCGTCTTATCTCCGTTATCGCTTCGTTTGTTGTCAGACTCGTTTATGCTGTTCCCATTGCTGCACGCGGCCGCCTGTGTCCTTCCTGCTTTACGCCGTTCCTTCCGTCTTCAGGAAATCAGTTGCAGGAAAAGTCCAGTGAACTCTGCTGTAAAATACATCTCAGCTCACCAGTCTCATATTTAATGGTGATGTTATCTGATACCGGATGGTGGCTCATGGATTTCTATTGACAGCAGTGTCAAAGTCTACTTTCTTTACACTCAGCTTCAGGGTAGATTTCAGGGTGTGTTCAGCAGTCAGGGTGAGGTTCAGACAAGATCTTGTGACTTTCACGTACTACATGTACACACATACACACACAGTTCATTCTCACATACACTGGACTTTGATCACTACACTTGGAGTTAGCGTATGTGTCACAGCCCGACTCTGTGTCAGTCAGGTGACTGCATGGTTACAGGCCGAATATTTTCATATACATCAGAGCCACTGTGATTTGTATAAATGTCCAGCCATTGTAGGACTGTAGTGAGTAAGTAAACCTTACACATCTGTTCAGCCTCACCGAATATGAACAGACCGTTGAGATATGAATCATGTTATTTGGTGATATCAGCCACACACCTGTGGTTGTGAACTGTAGGAGCAGCAGGCTTTTAAGTACTAAGCTGTGTTATCTGCTGAAGCAGAGGCAGAGAAATGTCTGAGAGCAGGAATGCCTGGACGCTGATATCCAGGACTGGTCTGTCGCTCTTAGGTTGACACCGCCATCCAACTGCTGGCCTCGGGGTTTCTTTGTTTCTCACTCTGTTTTGTACCAAAATAAAAAATGGAGTCAGTCTGTCAGAAATCTACATTTTTTGTTCAGTTCAGCAGTTGATGTGAAAATGATCTGTTTGCTACAAAACTGGATAAACTTCTTTGTTTATTTGCTGCTCTTTTGAACGTAGTGTGCCACAGACAGTGAAAGAGGCCAAAAGGCCATTATTTACTGTTTTATGATTTATCTCTCTGACAGTTCTGTCCTTTTGAAAGCTTTAAGTCACATGTAATCACTTGGCTACAAAAGCCATAATGTACAATTTGGGGTGAGCTTGGTCTCTTTGGAGCTTTGAGACTGTCACTTTACTCACACCAGTAGCCCTCCCTTCTGTAGCCCTGACGCACTGACTAAAGTAACACTCAGTTCTTGCTACTTAACCCCACTACTGTTGTTACAAATGGAATCGGGCTTGTTGTTAAACTGCTGTTGAATATTTTGCAGTGGGAAAAGTAAATTGACTGAAAAATGGGAAGCCACTAGAGAAAGACATCACATAACATGCTGTTTCGGAGGTGGTGGAAAAGTGCTGGGTAGAGGCCAGGTGAGCTACATTCCCGCCAATTTAAAACTCATCTAGGCCAGTCTGCACACGCAGTTACAACTAATGTTCAATACAGTGCTTCTTTTTGGACAAACGTGACTTTTTTTCCTTGTTTGAACTCCAAATGTGTTTGGAGTATACGGTCATTGTAAATCCCTCGAGCATACTGTTTGACTGTTGAGAGCTCCTCTGTTGTTTGCATTAACTTTAGTAATTGCTTCAATTTAAGTTCTCATGGGGATTAAGTCTAGTTTCGGTTTTACCTCTTACTCATTACTGAATATACACTTCTTAGATTTAGTAGCTCCTCTCAAGCCATAATTGTTGCTATTCCCATTATAATGTCAGAATAGCTGTGGGCAGCGAGTGATTCTTTTCTTTTTTGTATTAGGGAAGCCATCCTGCTTTAAATAGGGCTGCAGCAGCAGGACTCTTTCCACAGTAAGTGACATCATTTCTCCAGCCCTGCGGTGGTACTTGGAGTCAACACAGTCTAGGGTGTGTCTCAAGACACCCATCCACTACAGCATGGATTTGCTAGGTCACCTCTTCATGTGGAAAGAGCACCTGGTTCTCCTGGCTCTTAGGGTTCAGCAGTCAAATCCACCTGCGTGCTGATTTTTTGGAGGCTAGAGGAGGACGCGCAGTATAACTGAAAGCTCTTTATGTTTGCGTTTGTGTGCATGTGAGCATCATTTTTAGCTGTCCAGTCCATTAGTTGTATAAGTAGGTTACGTAAAGAGCACAGTTTAGTGTTTGAGTCAGGGTTACCATTTTAAAGTGCGGAGATGCTGTGGAAAACTAAGCATCTGTTGGCATGCATCTACTGTATAATGACGTCACCACTAATAACTTTGCTTAATTACTGTGTGTGGTCCAGTAGGGGGTAAATCTAATCTTGGTTTGCTTCTGTGTAGCACCAATAAAGAGTCACAAACCAGGGTTGGGGATTCTCCAGCTTTTTGGGTTAGGTTTGTTCTTCTCTGTGCTCCATAATTTATTAATCCGCTATGTAAGAAGACTCAAAATGCTAAATGTAATTCTCAAAATACATACTAGTCTGCAGCACTTGGCTGGAGTTTTTGTGGGTCTGGGATTTCCCCTCAAATCTCACAAGAACTTTTTTGAGCTCACACAGTTGATCTTCATAAAGTGCTCTCACCCAACTGGTGGTAAATGTGGGTGAAATTGTATTATGTATTGTTGTGTAATCAAATCCAGAACCGCTCGTTTCCAGTATATGTTTGGTCTTCAAGCATTTTGAGCTAACATGAGGTTTGTTCTTTAAATACACTCGGTTTATCAAAGCAATTTTCCAATCCTCAAATTAAAAAAAAAAAATCATTTCAATAAAGAGTTTGGCAACATTATTTTTGGACATGCAGTGAATCTGTTATATCGCCCTCAGCTCTGATTCTCTGCTCAGGCTGTGTCACTCACATGTAATTTCATTTTCCTTGTAAAATGAATCCGTTATAAAGTGTGTGTGTGTGTGTGTGTGTGTGTGTGAGCTTAATTTTGCAGGTGGGATTTGGGATTATACTGTAATTGTCCTGTTTAAAAACATGCTTACTCCTCCAGCTACTCCTCCAGCATGGACAATGTTCTCTAAGCGGGACCAGACTAAGACTACAGTAATCTCATTACTCTGTGTTGTTTTTCTTTGTCTTTACAGACGGGACGCATTGACAAATCCTACCCCACAGTGTGCGGCCACACAGGCCCGGTGTTAGACATTGAATGGTGCCCCCACAATGATCAGGTCATCGCCAGCGGCTCCGAGGACTGCACAGTGATGGTAAGGTTTGTCTCACCCTTCACACCTGAACTCATTCAGGTGACATTCGTGAGCTAATAAGTGACAAGAGACTACATGCTTTTATTGCGAAAGGGCTGTTGTAACACAGGGATGGGTGCTGACCTCACCCTCTGGATTAGATTAGGCCCAAATATGTGTTGTAGGAATCAGAGCTGGGGAATGATTTAGCTGTTTATTGAGCTGAGGTCACCGACTCTTTTTGAGACTGTAGTTGTACGTTCCTCCATATGTCCTTATTTGGGCAGTGAAAGGCTGAGATTAATGTGCTGGCTGTTTACATGTGCTGCTACCACTTCCTCACCTGAAAGTCCCTACTTCCTGTTAAACCCACTCTGAATCACTGCCATAGTTGTTTCATGTTTGCAGAAGTATAATCCATGTAATCAGAGCCGTCAATGGTTCCTCTCTTCATAGCATTTGACCTTTTTGGAGGGAAAGTTCACAGCCTAAACAAGCTCTTGGTGATGTTTAGTTTAGATTAGGTGGGAGTGGGCGGTATAACTGGTGTGTACAGCGGACTGGTTGAGATGTGCACCATCATGTGGATGTGGCGACACAATTTTTCACAATAAACACTGAAATTGCATGACATACATCAGCACAACTCACTGCATGTTAACCAGTGCTGCTGTTAACATTTGCAGTGCCTTTTTAAAACATATGAGCATGCTGCGTCCTCCTTACACTTGAACAAGCAAACATTGGCACACTAAGAAAGGTGTTTGAATGATTTGAGACAAACAATGGAAAACGAAAGTGGCAGTTGTTGCCAGAAACAGTAATACAGGCAACCTTTTTATCACTTAAAGAGAAAACATGTCTACAAATACAAGGTTTTCCTCAGAATTCGCTTTGACACAAGTAACTTCAGCAACTGCGGCACTGGTCTGTTGGACATCTACACCATAACTGTATCTTCAGTATGTAGAGACATGTCGCCCATCCAGTATGTGGAGAAAAACAGCTTTAAGATATTGGCAAATCGGTGACATCACACACACATTTTAAATCCTGTTTTACAGCATCTGTTTGAGAAGGTGGAGCAAACACACACAGTGTCAGCTGTTTGGTGTATTTAGCTAAATTTGACTGTTTACCCCATCTGTCACTAAATCATATGCTTTTGTGGACAACTGAACTCTTAGTTGCTGCTGCCCCCTTCAGGTTTCTTTAGGTAACTACCATTTATTTGTGTGTAGGAATAGTCTTCTTGGCAGTTGGTATGTTGGGGTTGACGAAACACATTAAAGTCTTAAGGATTAATCATTTTTTTGAACTAGAGTGAACTGGAGTGTCCCTCCAGCTGGCTTCACTGTCGGATCTGCTCATGTCCTCCACAGGTGTGGCAGATTCCTGAGAATGGCCTTGTCACTGCCATGTCTGAGCCAGTAGTGGTACTGGAGGGCCACTCCAAGCGCGTTGGCATCATCACATGGCACCCCACAGCACGCAATGTCCTTCTTAGTGCAGGTAAGAGCTCCCACTGTGTCCTTTAATCTGCTAAACAATGTGGCTGAAATCTGGCTGCCCTCACAGTAATGCTGCATTCACGTGAAATCAGGCAGACTGTAGACGGCAAACTGGACGTCCTGTTAGTGGATGGGAGCGGGACGGAAAAACTATAAAACTATAGGCTGTCATTGCCTAAAAAAAAAAAGATAAAATAACAAAAAATTTCGCATTTTTGTATTTTAAATATAAGTTCATAACCTGTGTTTTTTACACACCCGAGGGTATAAAAGGTTAAGATGTAGTGAGCAAGTAATGGATGCTCTGTTATAACCAAATCTAACTGACATCGCTATTGTTTACACAACAACAGTTCTGACTCTTCAAATGTTAATTTTTGTTTTTCTAGTAGTTCATTAAAAAACTTCACAAACATTTTTTAGGCTTTATGTTATATAAAAAGCTATCAAACATTTTGCATAAGAATTTAAAATGAATTATCATTAATATCAACTGGTAATTTTATTTATTGACTGTAATTTAATTATCCCGATCATTTATTATAATATAAATATCTCATTATCGCCCCGATAATTATTGTACATTGTATTTAATATATTTTATTCCAGTCTTGGTAAACAATACAACATCCCCTTAGCAACAATGCATGTTTTATTTTTGCTGCCTACCATTCTGTACAAAAGTTTTTGTTTTTCCCGTGCTGTCAAGAAGGTGTTGTCCGTCTGCAGTCTACCCTCTGCCTGAATCCTTGTGAATGAAGCATAAACCTTTAAAACTCGCTGAAATTGTGAAACAAGTGACTTGTGTGTTCTGCCGTGCTGCTCACCTAAACTTCACTCTGTCGTCAGGTGGCGACAACCAGATCATCATCTGGAACGTGGGCACAGGAGAGGCTATGATCAACCTGGAGGACATGCACCCCGATGTCATTTACAACGTGTGCTGGAACCGCAACGGTAGCCTCATCTGCACCTCCTGCAAGGACAAGGGCATCCGTGTCATCGACCCCCGCAAGGAGACGATTATTGCTGTAAGCAGTTTCCAAAGATCTCTTTATTGTGACATTTTCTCGTTTATATTTCAGTGTATCTGCAGTATGTGAGAGGTAGATATTGATATAGGGGCAGTGCGATGGGGTTGCAAGCAGGAAGACTGAGTTCAGCAACCTTGTTCCCTTAAAACTGTCCTTGAATATGACACTGGATTTAGGTTTGTTGGTTATTATAGAGGACTAAAACTAAACTAAACTACAATATTTTAAAACTAGAAATTATACATGCAAACCAACTGAAACAATTGTGTGTACTTACAAAACTAACTCAAATAAAAAGATAAAGAAAATGTCTTTAGTTTAAGTCATTGTCAGTTTGGTCAAATTTGTCAATACAACAAGAATGAGACGTCTACATGACGTAATTCCTATTCTGAACTTCTTAAATCTTGCCCCTGAAAAGTAGTTTCCATATTATTATTTAAAAAAACGCTGAAACTAATAAAAACTAAACAAAACCTAACATTTGTAGACAGAAAATTAAAAGGAAATTAATTAAACTAATAAAAAATACAAAACTATAATAACTCTGATTCATTGCTGTGTAGCTCATTCTGACCTTCAGAACGAATCAAGTGGAGGAAAAAGGTTTCAGGCTAAAGAAAATGCTTTGCGTTGCCACTTATCTAAAAGTAGAGTTTACACTGTGATTGACAGACATCAAAACATATCTAAAGACATCAACAATAAGAGAAAATTGACCAGGAGCGTAAGATTACCGATAAGAAAGAAAGAAAAAGAAGTGGGTGAAATAATAAACTGTTCAGGAAATAGTGACTTGGGCACAGATGTGTTGTGTTGACCGTAAACTGTACTTCACAGGAGAAGGAGAAGGCACATGAGGGCGCTCGACCCATGAGGGCCATTTTCCTTTCTGATGGCAACGTCCTGACCACAGGTTTCAGTCGCATGAGTGAGAGACAGCTAGCCCTCTGGAACACGGTAAGCTGCTGCATGTATGCTGACTGCACCACATCAGCTGCAATGTGAAATTAATGTGAAATGTGGGTCTTAGAGTTCCCTAAAGAACTTACAATACTTGATTTCCACCAGAGAATATAGATTGTTCAGACAGCAAGCTTTTCATTTAAGTTAACTGTATAACTGAATCTTTATTACTTTGGAATATGCTGCAGTATTCACGGTTTTTAAAAGTTGAACCATCTTTGCAAACATCCTCTTCTTCCTGTTTTTTGAAGGCCATTACCTTTTTATAGTCCTGATTGTGTAATCTCTCCAACACCACTTTGATTTATCATTCTGCTTTTTTTGTGTCTCCAGTCAAATATGGACGAGCCGATGACTGTTAATGAGATGGACACCAGCAACGGAGTGCTCCTGCCCTTCTATGACCCAGACACCAATGTTGTTTACCTCTGTGGGAAGGCAAGTTCTCTTTTTAAGCACCTCAATAGTCAAATCAAGTATCATTACAACTGCACAGTAATTGTAAATTAGATTTCCACACAGCTGAATAAAGAAATAAAACTCTCCCTTTTATTTCTTGACAGGGTGACAGCAGCATCCGTTACTTTGAAATCACAGATGAGGCTCCATATGTTCACTTCCTCAGCACTTTTGCCACCAAGGAGCCCCAGAGGGGCATGGGCTACATGCCCAAGAGAGGCCTCGATGTCAACAAGTGCGAAATTGCGAGGTAAGCTAAGCCGGATGGCTAATTATTGTCTCTGGCGCCAGAATGAGTTTGGAGTTTTGATTTCAGTCAGCCAGATATAATGTGGAATTCCTAGCTTCGACACTAGGAGGCAGAACATCCCCGTGATATGATCACTAATCTGTTTTAGGAACGTTTCTCTTGCTGCTGTTGTTCAATAATGCACTGAATTGTGGGTAATAATTGAATTTCCATGTTGCCAGGTTCTATAAACTGCACGAAAGGAAGTGTGAGCCTATCGTGATGACTGTACCTAGAAAGGTGAGTCTTCATCCTAAGTGACCACTTTGCACACAGTTACTAGACCTCCAATCTGCAGCCCGGTGAAGCCTCGTGTTTATAATGAGTCTGTTTATAGATAGAGTTTTCCTCACAGCTTGTCACTCTGTGCCCCCCCCCCCCCCCCACTTTCAGTCGGACCTGTTCCAGGATGACTTGTACCCAGACACTGCTGGACCCGACCCTGCCCTGGAGGCTGAGGACTGGTTTGACGGAAAGAATGGGGACCCCATCGCCATCTCCCTCAAGAACGGCTACGTCCCGGGCAAGAACCGCGAGTTCAAGGTGGTCAAAAAGAACATTTTGGACAGCAAGCTCACCAAGAACTCAGAGAACTCGAGCCCTGCCAACAAGTCTGCCTCCCCAACTCCATCGATTGTGAGTATTTGATTATTTTCTGATAAATGTAGGCCACTCACTGTTTTTCACTCCGTAGAGCTGGGCAGGATGCAGTGGGTTTTCTTCTG